GTATCTTAATGAGTGTAGTCTGTAGGCATTTTGTTTGTCTTAAATGTATTGCTTTAATAGGAAATAAATAATTGTTGTGTTAGTATGTTGTAATTAGTTGTCATGATGTGTGTCCATTCATATGAATATTATGCGTAGGGTGGGAGTGTGTTACTGGGCTAAGGGTATTTAGGATTAGTACGCTGGGTAGTTGTTTGTTTATCTTCTGTTTGTTATCGTTTACTTTGGTATAGGCTGGCTTTATTGGCCCACCTTTCATACCCATTGTTTACGAAGCTCGGCGGTTTGAAATAGTGCAACTACTAGTGTAAGGTCTAGAAACTGACGATTGGATAAATTGGTTTCGAGGCTGCAAGAGCAGTGTAAGGACCAGATCGGGAAGAAACGTACAGTAATTCAAAGAGATTTTCATTTAATTGCTATCTAACTATGAAGTTTCTTTCTCTTGTATCGTTGACCTAGTGTTGTTCTTGTTTGTGATCGGAGTGTGTTAATGTCAAGATTAAGGTGTGAGGTGTATTTAGGATTTGTCGATAGCACGTTTTAATGAATAGATCTGGCTTGGTTAGCCTGTTGTTTGGACTAGAGTCGAAATGTAAAATTATCTCTGATTAGCTAAGGACAGTTATGAGTGTATGATATTTGATCTATTTCTTATATGTATTTTCATTGTCATAGCATTAAAGTCTACGATCGAGCAATAATAATGACCATATTTCATTAAACGAATTTTTAAACACACATTATCAGTATCTTGTTTAAGGATAGTTTTTTGCGATATTTTTTTTCGTGTGAATATTATTGTAAAATATTAGTAAGGTAGTTTTTTTTTTTTTTTTTTATATATATACATATCTCTTTTATAGGAAGGTAATTGTTATAAGTGACATCTTTTGGTTTATGTTGCTTCAGATATGAAGTTTATATGATGTAATTTATTGTTGTTATATTCAAATAAATATTGGCAGTTATTTTTCAATACGCAAAAAATAAGTTAATTTTGTTGTTTAGTTGTTCATGATGCCTTGTTATGCTGATACTATCGTTAAAGTGAATCAGGTTCGTCAAACTTGCAACAAGGATTCAAAATTGGTTGCCGTACGGGCAGTTGGTGTTTATCCTATTGAGAGTGAGGATTGCGAATTGGATATGACTTTATTTATTCTGATGAATGATAAAGAGAGAGATCCTAATTCACAATCGATTTTTGAAACAAATGAGTATTATTGTGTTGGCGGAAAAATCGTACTTAGATCTTACAATGGAAATTTAAGATTAAAAGTTTGTGTATTTAGTTGTATGCGTTATAATTTTTGAACTATTATTAAATTTTTTAAATCTAGATGACTGTCGCATCCTCGACTCACCTTTCAATTAAAAAAAATTTCGGTTCAAATAGGTGCCCATTAAAAGTTTCGCTTATTGGTGTTGCTCAGGATGCACCTAAAGAGATTAATCACGAAAACGCAATACTTAATGTATTAGTAAATAATTATGATAGGCAAATTTACAGTTTTACGATCAAAGTCGTTTTTCCGCACCATAATTCTCGATTCAAACATTTAATGAATTCCACTTAATTGCATGAATCAGTGCTTTTTGTTGTAGGGCAAATGGAGATTATTGAAAAGAATTTATATGTGTATGCCGTTGATATTTCTTATGTTGATACTGGTTCTGCAACAAAGAAGAAAGTTAATATTTCTGAGAATACTCCAGCACTATATAGATCCGTTCATTCAAGACTTTTAAACGTATATCAGAGTGTTAATGAAGATTCATCAAAAGCAGCTGGGATGAAAAATTCAGATTTAGATAACGAAAAGAGTAAGCTCGTAACTGATTTAACTACTGAGGATTTTCATATAGATAAACGTACAAGAGTAGAAGACGAGAAAGATGATTTCACCAAGTATGTTGATGAACGTACAAATGATCGTGATAAAGAAAGTATGGATAGGAGTAATAAATATAAGAGTGGTATTGTTCAGGATAATAAAAGTTCAGAGTATAATTATGAAAATTCAAATAAAGGCAAGGAAAAGATTATTCAGCCTGTAGTTCACAATACTAGGCAATGGTCTGAATTGTCCAAGATCATCAACAGTAGTGAGAGGGTGTAACTTGTGGTTTATATTTTCAACGATTAATATTTATCTATCGAGGTGTTTTTTTTTTTATTTTGAGTCCTACTTATTTCAAATATTTTTTATAGTATTTTATATACTATGTATACTTCATTAAATTGTAAATAAATTACTTTTTGTTTATTTGATTAGTAATATTTTAATTGTTTTATCACTTCGCAATAAATAAGATGTCATATATGTTTATATTAATTTTTATATAAACATTCAATTCGGTTTTAAATAGTAAAAAGTAATAATTACAATAAATAAACTTTTTAAGTTGGAGCTATTTAAGTAAAGTATATAAATTTTATTTAATTCCAAATGTTATTCACAGAGAAACTATTTATTCTATAATAAACTTCTTAAGTCCGCATCTTTAAAAAAAGAATATAAACTCATATTTAATCTCAAGTGTTATTTATAGGGAAATTATTTATTCCATAATATCTGTAATTATTATTTTAATAAATCGGATATAAAGAGGTTAATTATCAAGTATGTGATTCATGTGATAGTTATTATTACAAACATGAGTATAATATTTGCGTTCGCAATGAATATAACTAAGAATTTCTATGGAGCATGTATACATGTATATAATAGTAATGTGCAAAAGAATAATTGATATAACGATAGTATACTAAATCTGAGTAGTAATATCATAATGCAGTTATAAAAGAGAAAAAGTGTAAGAGATAGTTTCTAATTGAAAACTAGTAAAAGCTATATTTGCTTT